CCTCTGACCCTCCTCCCTCTCATGCTCTCTGTCTCTCATTCTCTCTGTCTCAAATAAATAAATAAAATCTTTAAAAAAAAAAAGAAAGAAAGAAAACCAGATTTAGTTGAGTAGGAGCCAAGTGTCACACCTTCATAGTGCCTGTCAAGACATCTCCCTTCATTCTCTGCCACTGTGTCATCCTCACCTGACTCTTCCTCCCCTGGAGCAAACTCTGGGAGTTTTCGTATCAGCCTCGATGGCTCCTGGTAGTCAGGGCGAAGGGGAAAGATGCGATCGTAAGTGGAATTGGACTCCTGCTCACTTGGCGATGAGGAGCGGTTGTTGTTGAACATGCTGGACTCACTGGGCAGAGAAAGGCTGACTGTCATTTCATCATCCAGCATCCTCCGGGAAGCCTGAATGAGAAGGATGGGGAAGGCATGTTAGCACAAAGGGGATCATGGCTTCCTCCTCTTCTGAGACCCAGCTCTTCCACTCAGGTGAAATACCTCTCTATTACTCTTCAACTCTGCAAGCACAAGTGACAGGGATGCAGTCTGGCTCCACAAATGCCTGGGTCGTAGAAACTTAGAATAATCCTTCATTGACCCCCTAACTTCTGTGCTACCAACATTCATTAACTTTCATTGAAGCATGTATAAGCATTATTTACATGACACTATGAGAACCTATCAGTAGCCAATCAAAGATCTCAATCCTGCAGAGTTTTTAATGTTCTATTAAGTAGTGGGTTTTTGCAGACCTATCCCTTAATTGGTTTGATTTTGTGTAGACACATTAAAATGCTCATTCACTCAACAAATGTGCTGTAACATGATGGGTCAGTAGTCTACCTGATCACTCTGGCACTGTAGATTAGGGTAATATGCCCTCAATCCTGCATTTTTACTAACCAAAAATAAAATGGCTATAAAATGGGAAAGGAAATCCCTGGGGATACTGAGGTGAATTACACCCAATAAAAGAAGAAAAAGAATAAAATAACAAATTGTTTTGGCATCCTATCCAATGTGACCTGCCTGTTCCTTCCAAAGGAAAATGAATATATGTGACTATTTGGATTTGAACACGTAAAATGTCCCACTCCAACAAACACACTTTGGGTGCTCAATGGAGAGACTTAGATGTCTGCTTCATCCCCTGGACTGAAAAGTCCTTTATTGCAGTAACACCCCCAATACTGAGCACGGAACCCAGCACATAGTAGGTACTCAATAACAATGGGTTAACTCTCTCAAAGAAAAAATGTTAAGGACACTGCCAAAAGGATCCTACAAATAATGGTTAGTCTAAAGCTATTTTGAATAATGTTTCTTGGAATACATGTGTATGCTTAAGAGTTTTATACACACACACAGACACAAAACATACACACAAATCTGTCACCAGGAAAAAGTCCTGTGTCATTCCAGAGCATCTGGAGTTGTCTTACTAGGGTATACAGGGTAGAAAGAATTTCTTGAAGGACCAAGTTAAATATTTCAGGGCAAAATTGTTGCTCTCCCTTTTACTTGAAGGGTCTCCAATCCAACACTCCTCTTCCAGTCCGTGGACATATTCCCATTAGACTCCCAAGAAAGACCGAGAGAAATGTGGCAAATTCTGGCTCCAATAAAGAGAAAAATAGTTCATAGAGTATAGAACACAGATTCCCTCTTCCCAGTTAAAACGCAGTCATAACAAAATACTCAATAAGACACACCTCAGCTTCAAGCCATCCCATGAACCTGCAGTCCACCAGCTTCTACTACCACCAGCACCCTTTGTTGCCCCTCACCCTGAATTTATACACCTAGTGTGTTCTGGCATTCTAGAAGAAAGGTCTTGAATTGCCTCACAGCTCAGAGCTTTTATAACCTCTCAGTCCACATCCATTTGAACTCATTGATCAGTGAAGATGTCCATGGCCAACTATAGAAACACTTAATCATCAGCAGACCCCAAGAGCATCAGATACTTAGCAGAAGTGCCCAGAGAATTGCTATCTAGCCTAAGAAACCAAGAAAAGTCATAGATATTCCATCTTTGCTGGGATATATATATTTGGAAGTTGACAAATTTCAAGACTGACAATTGGAATGAGCATAGAAAATAGGATATCAGTTGTATGATCTTGAGCAAATCACATTTTCTCAACAGAAAAAGAGTTAAATATAACTACTAGGCCCAGCTCACTGTTACTCAATGAGGTTCAAGTAAAATAATACACATGAAAAGAGGCCTTGCAGGTTGTCAAATGTTAGACAAATGTGTAAAATCTTATTCAAATAAGTTAGATTGGACAAAGCAAATCTGAGGAGGGACCCAGAAGGAGGCATAAGCATAACTTTCAAGTACATAAAGAAGTAGAAATAGGACTATGAAAAACTTGGCTTGGATATTAATGAGGCTAAATGTTTTTCTGCACCACACATGCACGTGTGTAAATAACAGAAGAAAAGGAACAACATTATCAGAAATTTTAGGTAGGTAGCAGTTGTGCATCTGTTAATTTTTTAAAAAAATACAGATGCCTGCACTCCCCTCCAAACCCAGTGGATCAAAACCTTCAACGGAGATGCTTGAGTTGAGATTCAATGTATTAGGAAGAGTTTTCTGGGTTTTTTAGGGAGGTTCCAAAATCCCCATTCCAAACATGAGAAAATGGACTTAGCTTATTCTTTTCTGACTCCCTTCAGCACCAAGCTTCACCACTCCCAGGCTTCTCAGTGGCCTCGGTTAACACTCTAAGCATTTATAAGTTCTTACAGTTTGCCTTTTCTCCTGAGGTAACAATGGCTTAGGCAAGGCAAATGGAGCAGGTTCCTATCTCATGACTACTCTGCACTTCCTCACCTTCTCCAGCATTTTCTGCCAGAACTGTCTCCAGAGGATGATGACAATGATGGCCAGGAGGATGAAGATGATGGCTACCAAGCAGCCAATCAGGATCCGGGTATTGCTGTCATCGACTTTAAGCATTGGATCTGCGACCAGGAAGAGAAAGATGGAGAACACCATCATCTCACAGGGCAAGGAAAAGCATGAGGTACTGGGCCAGAGACAGAAAGGTAGAACCTTTTCCTTCAGGATAATTCTGCAAGATGCCACCTTAACACTTCTGCTTAGTTTCGGTCTTGCTACTCTGGTATGACTTTGCTCCTCCATTGTACACACCTCCTCCTTGGGACCATAGCCTCCTCCTCCACATGTATCAGACTGGATAATGGAGACGTTTTCCTTTGGTCCCGAAATTTTGTTCCTTTATTACCACAGCCTAGATCTACTGGCTCATAATCACACTTCATGAAAAATAGGTGAAGAGTCCCTTTGGAGACACTTGATCATATGTGTTTCCCAGATTGCTGACTCGTATGGCCAGTGACCATCTGAAGCCCTGGATACACTTTAGCATATATCTCCAATTAGAGAGACTACCATTTTGTTTAATGGACTTCCATCCATTCATTGAGATCCCCACTATGGGTCTTACCTAGAAATGTCCCTTTCCTTGTTTCTGTTCCAAGCTACCCAAACTTCCATGAAGCAATTGGAACAACTCCAGACTCTGCTTTAGCTGAAGAGTCACATGAACCAGCAGTGAGGAGAGTGAGTTTGGGCCCTTTACTTCGGAGCCTCCCTTTCCAGAAACCCCTTCATCCAAAGCCAGCTGGTATAAAGCCTCCTACACAGACAGTCAGGCTCTTGCAAATTTCCACCCTTCTTCATCCTCTAGAAGGCCTCTTCAACTTTAACTTTTATAACTAGAAATCACACATACCATAGGTTGTGGGTGCCACAGGTGAGGTGGGCAGGGCCCCAGAGTTGTTGTACATTGCAGCATCTGTTACAAAACAAGCATGAGTCAGAGCCAGGGAGAAGACAGCTAAGTAGTGGTTTTTCTGGAGGTAGATTGTGACCTAGCACATTGTGAAATCAATCTAGTAGGTTGCCATCAGCCTTTCTTAAAAATAAAGTCATATAATATTCTAAATTTTAAAAATCACCATTCATCTAGACAGTAAGGGCAACTCTTCTTTTGTAAAATGTTTGTTTAAATGATACTAGGTGTCATGGTACAAAAAAAGTTTAAGAAAGAGTGGCTCAGTGGGCTGTGACCATGCATTATCATAAAGCATGCACAGGAAGTCAGACTCAAATTCAGGAAAATGTAGAGAACATGATGGGTAAGCAGGCATGGGACAGACATAGTGCTAAGAGGCTCTTTCTTTCAAGGAAATTAAGTTGTTTTCACTATGCTCATTGACCTAGCCCTTTAATTTATAAATCAAGCCTTCACCCTTATAGGTAGATTATTGATACTGGGGTGTCCTTTACTGTGATGTACAAGCTTCTAAAACTAGACCCCAAAAGCATATTTGCTAGATTGACGTTGGCAACTCATTCTCCCCTCTGATTTGTCTAACCAAGGAGGTCAGAATTAGAATATGCATTTCCCTTCAAGAAGCATGCTCTCCATAAGTCCTAATTTTTCTTCTTCTTAGCAATATTACACAAATTGGGAGGTTTCTAGCATCTACATGTACTTTTCTGCGTTGAGTCCTCAGGCTCCAATGGAAATGAACATTGTCATGATATCAGATTTAAAACTCAAGAGATTCCCAGGAGTCAAAAACTGTAGTCCTTAGCTGCAATTGGTTATAACAGGGTAAGTATACTAATTACTCTGCCAAGAGAATAGAATCCCTGAGGATGGATGGGAATCTGTGGTCTTCCAGTTAACACAGTGTAATGACACTGTTTTTGAACATCTAAATAATCTCTACTCTTAATAAATACTTCATATAAAATAATCAATCCATTTATTCTTAAATTAAATCTTTATAACAGAAGGCAGTGAGGCGCCAAACCTGTTTTTCTAAACAGATGTTCTATTTCCTTATCAGTACATCTTAGTGAGCAAAACATCTTGAAATTCTCTTCTTTTAAAAATTAAATCGGGGGGCTCCTGGGTGGCTCAGTCGTTAAGCGTCTGCCTTCAGCTCAGGTCATGACCCCAGGGTCCTGGGATCGAGCCCCGCATCGGGCTCCCTGCTCCGCGGGAAGCCT